AGGATTAGAACCAGGCAGTCTGGCTCCAACAGGAGGTGCCATTCAGCGTGGGAACCACCTCCCGCCCTTGGGCACCACTGCCCACGCGTTGGCTGGCGCACGTCAGCTGCCCGCTTCTGCCCGCTACCTCCGAACTCCTACCTGGAAATCTCCTCCGTGCTCTGAGCTCAGCTGGGAAAAGAACTGCGAGGGATCTGGGATGTGACACTTCAGAACCTTCTTGAACCTGAACAGGGGAGAAGGGGGGGAGGAAGGTGAGAAGGGAAGGGGCCCCCTGTCCTGCCATCAGCCCGCAGCTCTGAGGGCAGAGCCCCAAGCCACTCTACACGCGATCATTCAGTCAATGTCGATCGCATGTCCAGTAAGGGGCGTGGTGCTGGGTGCGGGGACACACGACTGGCCGACAGAGAAGGTCCCTGCTCTCCAGGAGCTGAGATGCTAACGAGACAAATACAAACCAAGTGCGGCAACACGACCTGCAAACACATCCCTGCACGCTGTGGAGGCCAAGGGCAGGGGGCCCGGGAGAGGAGGTGGGGGTGGGAAACAGCCAGAGCCGCCAAGGCCACACGTGGCCGGGGCGGAGTGGGCCAGGAGGAGGGGGTCAGGCCAGAGGCCAGATCGGGGGCCTCCTCGTCGGGGGTGTCAGGGTTGGTGGCCCAGGTTGTGCCTTGCCCAGGGCCGCCTGGTGTGGGGAGAGGTGAGTGTGGGCCGAATTCCAGTCTGAGTGGCCGGGAGGCATCTGTGTGGAAGTGGATGCCACAGCCTCGAGACCCCAGAGAGCCCGGCTGCTGCCCACATGCCCAGCCCGCTCCCCCACCCTTTCTGGTCTCCGTGGCAACCGCGCCTCTGTACGCTGTTTCTGAAATGTTCCTGCCTCCTTCCCACCCAGGACCTTTGCACATGCTGTTTGCTCTCCTCTCCCCATTGCCCGCCCCCACCCCCTTAGCTCTTCCTTCAGATGTCAAGGGAGTCATCGCTTCCTCGGGGAAGTGTCCCCTCCCAGCTGACGTCCCTGCTTCCAGTACCTTCCTTCCCGTCCTCACCACAGGGTGTTGTTATATATGTGTGTGCGTGACTGACAGGTATCCACCTTCCTTCCAGGAGGATGGGACCGCGTGCACGTGGCTAGCCCTTGTGTCCCAGCTCTCAGCGCCCTGCCCGGCCCTGAGCTGGACTCAGTAAGTGAAGGAATAAATGAATGAATGCCCAGACCCGGACAGAGCCACGAGGACCAACACACACAAGAGCTGGCGTGCACACACACACACACACACACACACACACACACACACATATGACTCCTGAGAGTATTGCTCCGGGCAGTCCCCCGCCCCGCCCCCTGAGGACTCTCCCTGCCCCCCAATTCCCATCAGGCTGGTTCTGTCTTTGGGGATGGACCACAGGGAAAGGCCCGGCGTTTGGCAGTGCAGACTCCTGGCAAGGCAGAGGAAGCTCTGCGGCATCTGAGCAGGGGCTCAGCCCAGAGTGTGACCTAGCCAGGGGGGACGGGTGTCACACAGGAGCACGCAGGACAGACGGGGAAGCCAGCGCTCTTACCACGGCCCGAGGTACTGGCAGTTGACCAGCAGGGAGACGACGACGAGGAGGCCCAAGGCACCGCAGAGGCCCACGAGGATGTGGCCCAGTGAAGAGGCTGCCCGCGGGCGGGAGGGGAAGCAGGTACCCCGCCTCACCCAGATCACTCCTCACCCAGATCACTCCCAACTTGTGCTGAGGGACGGCCAGTCTCTGCCCCCTAGGCCTTCACAGCCTCCGCTGGCCCAGCCAGACCCACATGGGGCATCGTGTGCCTTCATCCCAGCAGCCCGGCCTCGGTATCATGGTACCCACTTTACAGATGAGGACACTGAGGCTGAGAGGTGAAAGCAGCCCACCCCAACCCTGGAAAACACCAGGAGTCTGAGGTTTCAAGATAGAGAAAGCGAAAAGAGCCTCTCTGGCCTCCCCACTAACTCACAGGGCTCTGAGCAAGCCCATGCCCTCCCTGAGTCCCTGTTCCCATCTGTAAAATGGCCACAGTTATGCCCCCGCTGCTCACACTGCAGGGTCACATCAAGTGAGCTAATGATGGCAGCTGAGCACTGTAGCCTCAGCCCCAGGCCTCCCTCACCAGCTGTCCAAGACCCACACCCCTTCCTGTCCAACTCCATCGTACCGTCAGGCCTCCTCCCGGCCAGGAGCTGGTCCTCGGGCCGCGTCCTGAAGGCCAGGGGCTGGCTCCAGGGGCTCCAGGTCAGGAGGCTGCCTCGCTGGGCCCTGACCCGCACCTGAAGCTCATACGCGGTGTCTGGAGCGAGTGTCTCCAGGAAGATCCATTGCTGGTTCTGCTTGAGGGTCAGCAGGGAGGCCTCCTGGGGCAGAGACAGGACGGTCAGCGCAAAGGGGCCCCCACTGCCCACCCCCCCTCCCGTGACAGGGCTGACCAGGAGGCGGAGCAAAACAGAGAAAGCCTTCCCCTCTCCCCTCCGCCACCCTCCCTCCTCCACTCCCACCCCATCCTCCCCAAAGACTCCCTGAATACCCAGTTGCTGGGGTCATCCTAAGCCCCTCCCTCTCACTCACCCCCTCCATCCAAAGCCATCTGTCCATCAACTGGTTCCACCGCCAGGGCCTATCGGGGACCCTTCCCCTCCTCTCCTGTCCTCCCTGCCCCAGGTCTGAGCTCCCACCACCTCTCAGGCTGGAGGCTGGTCGCCCTGCTACCACTGCGTCCACAGACCTCTCCCACCTCTGCATCCTCTTTTTTATTTTTCCCGGCCCCTCCTCCCCCCTACCCTTCCTCCCCAGGCAGCCTTTGCCTTTGCAGTGGCTGCTTCCTCTGTTTGGAAAACCCTCCCCAGGTCTCTGCAGGGTCAGCTCCTTCTGGACCCTCAGACCTCAGAGCAGCCTCTCCTGGACCCGTCCCTCTTAGAAGTGTTATCGCATGTCATTTTCTTGATAACTTTTACCAATATTCCACAGTCTCCTGTTTCCGTGTTTGCTGACTGCCTGCCTCCCCACTCCCCCCCGCCCCCCCCACACATACACACATACATGTGAGTTTCCTGAGAGTGGGAAGCTTGCCAGTCTGGCCCCCACTCTCTCCCCAGCATCCAACACATAGTAGGCATTCAGGAGATGTTTGCTGAGTGACTGAGTGAGTGAATAAAGGAGTGAGTGAGTGAATGAGCACAGACCCCTGTGGATTTGAAGAGCGGAGAGGTGGCGTCCCAGGGCCTCTGACACCTCACAGAGGGAAGGCGCCTGCCTCTTGGCTTGTAAATCCTCCCTAGTGCCAGCCTGGAATCTGCCACCTGCTGGAGCGCTGGGTTGTCGGGGTCACAGGGAGGGAGGGAGAGGCAGGAGCAGGCGGTGCAGAGGAGCCGCAGGGCTGCCTGGGGCCGTCCTGCCTTTGCGGAGATGGAGGAGGGACAGGGTGAGCAGCATAGGAATCAGGGCAGGTCGGGCTGGGCCCTGTACTCACCTCCCAACTGCGGTCCAGGGACCTTGTCCGGACCTCAAACTCCAGGTGTCTTTCAAGGTAGTGGGAGGCCTGGGGGACGGTCCAGGTTACGTTGCATGTGTGGCTCCCCTCCTGGGTGACTTCGAGGGAGTCAGGGGCCATCAGGCGAACTGGAGGGGGAGGAAGGAGGCGAGAGCCGGCTTGGGGGATGCTGGATCACGACGCTGAGATGGTAAAGCCGACACGTGCTCCCCCCTCCACCGCTGCACCTGCCGTTCCTCTCTCCTGGGTGCCACCCGCCTCTCTACCCCCCTCACCTGCTTCATTTTCTCCAGAGCACTATCACCACCTGACATATGAAATCATTATTTTGGGTTCTTCATTTTCTGTCTCCCTTACCAGTCTGTGAGCCTGCTGAGGGCAGGGGCTTGTTCTCTCATGTGTCTTTGGCGCCTAGAACTTTTACCTGGCACATAGTAGGCGCTTAATTGTCTTCTGAATGGATGAATCAGGGCAGCCTTTCTCTGCACTCAGAAATGATCTAAGCGGTTTAAATGGATCATCTCATTCGTGTAATTTAATTATGTCATTAACCTGCTATGATTGTAAGATTTTATGATTATGAAGTTAAATTGATCCAAGTTCTATAATTCTGAGACTTTGTAGAACTCCACGAAGAACAATAAGCGAATGTTTATTGAGCGTGTGCCAAGCAGTTTGAGTCTTGGCTCATAGACTCCTTACAATGACCATGTGCAGCAGGTAACTGCCCCCATTTTACAGATGAGGAAACTGAGCCAAACATGTTCAAGGACCTGCCAGTCAGACCACACTCAGTCACGGCATTTAGAACGCTGCCTGGATCTCTCCCTCTGCCCACCTCTTCCCTGGAGATGGCCTGCAAGATCTGGAGGGAGGCAGGAAGGGCTGGGGGTGGGGCCAGGCACTCAGTCATTCAACAAACACTTCCCGAGCACCACTCACATTGGACCTGTGCTGAGTACTCAGGCTGCACACGGGGATGGGATAGCTCTGCCCTCAGGGGGCTCACAGCTGAGTGAGGGAGACAGACCCATAGTCAGGCAGTGGTGACCCAGGATATAAACACCCTGAAAGGGGAGGTACAAAGGGCTGGGCGAGTCTGGGAAGGCCTCCAGGAGGAGGTGACTCCTCACTGAGCCTTGAAGTGTGAGTGGGAATTTTCCAGGTGGGAAGAGCCTTCCAGACCACGTGACCAGCATGTGCAAGGGCTCAGAGGCAGGGATGGGCGACGTGAGTTCGGAGAGCTGGCCTTTCGTGAGGCCTATCCACAGGGAAGGATGCTGGAGGGGAAGCCAGGTGGATTCCCCAGTGGCCTTGAATGCCGGGGTAAGGAGCCGGGACTTCATCCCAGGGCAGCGGGCAGTGAACTTGTCGGATGTGGGTGTGGAAGTTAATAGAGAGAGACTGGAACAGTGAGATCCCAGAGAGAAGACAGGGGAGGAGGAGCCCACCCCCACCGGCCCCTGGACCCCTCACTCACGGTTGTCAAAGGGCTTGAAGTCCTGGGTCATCACCCTCCTCCACCGCTCCCCCTCCAGGCACATCACCCTCATGCGGACGACGTCTGCTGAGGTCAGTGTCTGGGACTGCAAGGCAAGGGGGCAGAGGTATTGCTGGGGCAGCTGGCGTGGGGGGAGGCCATCAGGATGAGGGCATGGGAGGGGGGAGCAGGAGGGGAGACCAAGATGCCAATGCAGGTGGAGCCCCACCCCACGCCCGCACTGTCTACGGTCGGCAAACTTCCTCTGTCAAGGGTCAGGTAGTGAGTACTTTGGGCTCGGCAGGTCATATGGTCTCTGTTATAACTACTCCACTCTCATACACAACATGTGAGAGAATGGGTGTGGCTATGTGCCAATAAAACTTTATTTACACAAACAGATGGCAGGCCGGTTGTGGCCCAGGGGCCACAGTGGTGTGTCAACCCCTGCTCTAAAGCGAAGGAGCTGCCTTGGGGGAGAGGGAGGGAGTCCCTGGTCACCAGAGGTGGGCAAGCAGGATGGGTGCCCAGGCAGGTGCAGGGCTTTGAGTGTGAAAGCCTCCCCTCCCCCGGCTCCTCCTACCCCCGCCCTGACTTTTCTGGAAGGAAGTGGCCAGGCATTAAGCACATGTGGGCAGGCGCTGCTCAGGTGCTTTAGCCACTTCTCTGGCCCATTCTCAAGCATCCATCCCCTCCTGCAGGTGAGAAACCGAGGCTCAGGTAGGTTCAGGGATTTCCCAAGGTCACACGTCTGGTCTGGTCTGGTCTGGTCCGCCGTGGAACCCAGATTCACACCCAGGCTCTGTGTCCACAGCTGCACAGAGACCGAGCCCTGGCCCGCCATGCCTGACTGAGGGCTGCCGAGTGAGCAGCGGACGGCGGCCTCCTCCCTCCCTGTGCGGAGGCAGCCCCTCAGCCCTGCAGAAGGGAGCCTGCTGCAGGCACCCTGAGGGTCTGCGCTCTGGGGCCCGGCGGGCTGAGTTTATACCCAGGACCCAGGCACAGTCCCTCTGACCTGCTGCAGGGCCACTATGAGCGAACCTTGAACCTGATCATCAGAGTTCCCAGAGCTGGGAAGTCCTCCCTCTGCCCTAGCCTTCTTCCAGCTTCTATGGGGGCCAGATTGTCCCAGATAACATTAGTATTATCTTTATACTAGAAGCCCGGTGCACAGGATTCATGCATGGTGGTGGTGGGGGGGGGGGTGGCCTGCGGGGATTGCCCTCTGAGTGGCCGCTCCTGCTGCGAGAGCAGCCACTCATCCCTGTCAGCCGAGCAGCGCTCCCACTGTGGTAGCGCACTGACCACCAGGGGGCAGCTCCTGTGTTGAGCATCTGCACCCTGGTGGTCAGTGTGTGTCATAGTGACTGGTCAACCGGTCATTCTCGCTGTTCCACCATTGGGTCGCTGGGCTTTTATTATATAGGATTACTACTAGAGGCCCGGTGCATGAATTTGTGCACATTGAAAGGAAATTAATTAGGAGAAATATTTTAGAGGCCGGGGAGGGACCATGGGAGGTTGGCTCCAGGGCATGTCCGGCCCTTCTCACCCAGTCCCAATCGGGGCAATCGGGGGCCGACCGGGGCTAGCCGGGCAGGAGAGAGACTGAGGGAGGTTGGCCTGCAGGTGGAGGGACTGCAGGAGGGCTCCAGGGTGTGTCCAGCCCGTCTCGCCCACTCCCCAATCGGCGGACCCCAGCAGCAAGCTAACCTACCGGTCAGAGCATCTGCCCCCTGGTGATCAGTGCACATCATAGCGCCTGGTCGAGCGGTCAACCGAATAAAAGATCGACCGATTGGCCAGACACTTAGCATATTAGGCTTTTATATATATAGTTATTGTTGTTGTGGAGATGCCAATAATGCATTCTGAGTACTCAGTCTGAGGCAGGTACTCTCCTAAGCATTTGCATGTGTCATCTCATTTGATTTTCTCAGCATCCAGGCACTATTATTATCCTCATCCTGCAGTTGAGGAGACTGAAGCACAGAGAGGCCTAGGGACTTGCCTGAGGCCACACAGTTAGGAAAGTCACACAGCTGGGGGGACCAGGACCTGAGGCCAGGCTACCAGCAGAGCTTGTGGAGACAGGCCCAGCAGTCTGGGTCCAGAGCTGTGCCTTTGTCCGCTACACTGCAAGCCCATCTCCGCCCTCTCCTGCCCCCTGGGAGTGCATATGCCTTGGCAGTGGTTGGGAAATGTGGTCTGGGTGTCCCTGGTGCCCGCCACTGCCAAGGAGGCTTTGCCAGGCAATTATTTGATGCGCACCCACATGGGCACAGCCCATGTCCTTCCAGAGGCAGCCTAGTGCCACGGTGAGAGCTCTGGCTGGGGCCTGACAGGCCTGGGTGCAACCCCAGCTCTGCCACTCGCTCAGGATCCACGGACGATCGTGTCAAGAGCGCGCTCTACTCTGGGTGGCGTTCCGAGTGCTTTACGCTCAGACCAGCCCTGTCATTCCCATTATCATTCCCGTTTTTCGGAAGGGGAAACTGGGGCGTGGCAGCCACCCAACGTCCCCCAGCTGGTGTACAGCGGAGCCAGGGCCGGAGCCCAGACCGTCCGGCTCCGGAACCCACACTCCTGACCCCACACCCCCTGCACTGGGGGAGACGTCGGGAAGAGCCAGGTGTGTGCATCACCATTTCTGAGGTGCTCCCCCCGACTTGAGGAAGAGTGATGGAGTGCAGAGGACCTGCCAGCACGGGGAAGACAGCGGGAGCAGAGGCAGCCTGTGAGCTCATCCCCCGGGCCCCGTCACCCCCGGTCCGGCCTGCGTTCTGGCCTTCCTTCCTTCCACTGCCCAGCCCTGGGCAGCCCGCTCCACCAACACTTGCTGGCCACTGGGCTTGCTGGGCCCCAGCTTGTCTCTGGAAGGACACCCCTTGGCACCCACCCTCCCCCTGGTCCTCTCCCCTCAGAGACAGATACTCACATCCGGGGATCCCAGGATCAGGTTGCAGGACCAGGATGCCGGGCCCGCTGGGAGCAGCTCACAGGATTTGTTCCAGGGCCTTTCAAGGCAAAGGAACTGCTTAGAAGAAAGGGAGGGGCCCTGGCGCCGGCCCGCGGGGTGGCCCCCATGCAGCCAGGCTGGTCTGCGCAGGTGCTCTATGCCAACCTCACAGGGTGCCAATTCCTGCATCTGCTCTTCCTCCCCCCATGAGCACCCACCTCTGCAGCCGGCCCACAGCAGCCAGCGTGATCTAGGCCAGCCTGTCCGGGACACCTGCAGTCTTCCCCTGGGGCCTGGCGGGGCCTTGGCAGCCTCACGGACCCCACCCACAGGAGCCTCTGCTGCTGTCAGCAGGCTGTGTGCACCCTGCAACCCCTTCACAGCCCCCCCGCCAAGCTCCCCACCACTCCCAAGTCCCGTCCCCACAGCTGCCATAGGGCTCTCCCCAAATCCCCGGTTCCTCCCGAAGCTTGGGGAGCCCCCTTTCCTTCCCCCTCTCCTCCAAAGTCAAGTCCAGCCTCAGGATAGAAGCCCGAGTCTACCCTGTCCAGCTCATTACCAGCCTGGACCCCCCCACACCCACTCCCACCCAGGTTCCAGGAGTCTAAATATCAGACTCCTGAATTTTCCAGACTCCTGTGGTAGCAAGAGTCTGTGGGGCCCATTCATCCAAGATTCTCAAGGCACAGATATTTAGGAATCTGACAGTGAGGATTCCGGAACGTAAGCGTCAGTGATTGTAAGATCCCGCCGTCCTGGGAGTCTGCGGGTTGGCCAGCGACCCCACTCACCGTCTGTCAGGCTGGGCGTGGACGTGGCAGGATGTGGCCTGCAGACCCCCATCCCGGCTCCAGACACAGGAGATGTTGGCCCTCGAGTGTAGAAGCAGGTGAGCGTG